GTCTTTTCTCGATTCAGATCAAGCTATGTCCTCATCCGTGTATATTACAACAAAGCAGGCAAGCAATATATCACTATCCTTCTACCACTCCGATCGAGCTGTGTTGCAGTGAGAGTTTGTCGTGGTAGTCGTAGCAAGCGTTTTGTCTGTATAGTTGGTTGCTTTATGTGTTTAGATTTGCTGATCACAGGCTGACTTGGTTGAGCCAGTATTTCACGGATTCGAACAAATGTCATCCGAAGGTATGTTAAAAGCTTGGATGTTGTTGCAATTTATCTATGTTTTATTCATCTTTATAAACAACCAGACATCTCGATTTCCTTGATGGAATGTGATTCGCAACAAGAAAATCGAGAACCACATGATGCATTTGATTAATCATTTCCATTTGAACATGAATTGAAATGTATTTTTACAATTAAAATTATTTTGTAATTTTACACGAATTTTCATGCACATAAAAAGAGCTTGCATATTCATGTAAAATTGTCATTTGCCGTGGAACTGCTCTCCTCTGCCCTTTAAATAATTTTAATTATTTCAGCGAATCGATACACACTTGACATCTTGAAAAGCATGGATGTGATGAATAATATGTTTTTGGAACCAACAATAGATTTACGAGAATCTAAAATATTTAATGCACCAATTTGCGAAGAACATAAGTCCCTGTTAAGTGCTATAACGTACGATTGATATTTTTTTTTTACGATACGTGGGGATGATTTTCAAGCCAAATGTGTTATTCTATACAATGCAGCGCAACCTCATCAGCATTCATGAGCTAGAGAAGATAATACTAAATAACGATGTGGGGGCGACCCCGGCGTAGTGGTTAACATCTATACCACTCACGCCAAAGTCACGAGTTCAAATCTCACCCCCGGACAAGTCACGAATGACCCAAGAGTGTTAAAGTGACTATAATAATAATAAAAAAAATAACGATGAACAACTTATACTTATTTGCTTAAAATGAAAACTATTAATTTACACAAAGTAAATGAAAAATTGTTGTTTAGATACTGTAATTTTGTAAGTATAATAAATATTGTATCGATAAAATGATTTTAATTATTTGATTTCATCTTAATATATAATATTTTAATTAATATGGAAAATAATCAAATATCAGGAAATTTTAGTTTATAACCGTGAGTTATACCCCTGGACTATTTGGCTACAATCCCCACATTTTTCTTATATTGTTTATTAAGTAAACGAGTTCTGACTACGTACTTTTGCGGACTGGCGGGGCAAGAGTGCACATTTTACAATCATCTTTACGCATATATTAATTGTATGCACTCATCTGTTTCCGTTGTTCAAGTGTTGGGAAGTTGGTAGTTTTTTGGCGATGAAAATTAGAATAAAATAGTATTTAATCGTATGTGATGTAATTAATAGCGGAATTTACGTATTTTCTTCAATCTAAGCAGCATCCGCGTTTTTATACCGCGCCAAACTTCGCAAGTGAGTGCGACTATTGTCGTCAGCCCCTTTTTCTTCGTCATCCGTTTGAGATGCGTATTTACTAGCTGTTCTATTATCGGCATCTCTAAATCATCTGTGCTCAGTCGCAAAAATATAACCAGATTGAAGCTGAAAGACTAATGAATTGTTTAAATACATTCAGCGAAGTGGGAAAATACAGTGAAATTAATTTTTGATTTTTTGTTGCCGAAAACAGTCAATGGGTGCCGCAGCCGACATTTACCCTATGTTTAGTTATATTATTGCACTAAAGCATACTAATTCAAGATTAAAAACAGGTTCTATCAAAATATTTCAAAATAGGAACGATTTGACCACCATTCTAGTCATTCTTACTCTTGCTCCACTCAAAGTCAATAATAAAAAGAAATTCTCATAAATTACGAAATTCGGTACTTTTCCGAAAATTACCGAAAATTGTAAATAAATATTACTGATCTAAACAGTAATGACTGCATTTCTACAATACTGTAAAAAGGAAAATGACAAACGTACTGTAAAAATAACCTTTTACAAAACAAACGGTAGTAAAGTACCAGATTCTTGTAAAAATTACGGAACAAATTTATAAATGTCATACTTGTCAAAAACATTCTTTGCCGCTATTTTGAGGTTGAGTGTTCTTTAGTTCTTCTGTGTGAAAAGTAACTACTTTAATGTTTTGCTATACTTCACTGAATATACGGAGCGGAGAATTATTTTACTTTCAATTCGATCCTAGGCCATCGCTTCCAGTCATCTTGGACTTAAGGTGACACTAAACTACGAAGTTTTTCTTCCGAATGTTTCATATTAGTATTTTTATTTGGCTTTACTCTACTACGCTCTTTTATTAATGTTGCGGTTTTAACAAATATATTATATTAACAATATGATCCACTCTTTCACTTAGCTCGCGAACCGAATTTTTAGCGATGAAAGCACCTCTGTGGCCAAAAAGGCTACCAACGTCACGAGGGGTAAACCAAATGAAAATTTGTTTAATATTTCTAATGAATGTATTTCAGCATTTTATATTATTTGATGACAACTGTGACGTGTCAGGCAAATTTTAAAGTAATATACACAATGTAATTAATGAAAATAATTTGACTCTTAGCTTTGTAATAAGAGCTATATTCGCACCCCTCGATTGTAATTGAATGATTGTTGCTGACCTTTTTCAACGCTAGATGGTGCGTGAAGCAATATTTTGTGGGTCGCCATTGCAACATTTGGAAAAGGCATGAATGGATCATATTGTTAATATGATATATTTGGGTTTTAATTAATTTTGAAGTGTCCATTCTGACATAAACAGCTAGTTTATAATTGCAGACGTTATCGAGTTATCGATCAACAACACTGGTTTTATTATTGAAGTTCTGAAGAGCTTTTTTTTATTTTGACGAAAATTTGCGATATTTTTTAAAAGATAACCCAACTTCATACAACTTTGTCTCAGACGTAATTTCGATTAAATGATCTGGTTTCGTGCTATGATTTATTGGAAAATATCGAATAGGCCATTTTGGAAAATAAGCCGTTCATTGCCTCTAAACTGAAACAAAATCCATTGACAAAAATACTATATTGCTGGTTTAATTTAAATACCCTCACCAATAGCTTTATGCAGCAAACAATTTCATTCATTTTTATTATTATTTCTATCAAAAATACTATGCATTTTGGGTAAGCATAGTAGTTTTCTCCAGAATCATAGTAAATTTGTTAACATTCATAGTCAACTATACTGAGTTCATAATAGATTTAACGGTAATAAGTGTGGTTATATTGCCCGGAAAAAATAACCATACAATCACCATAAAATACTATAAAATCTCAACAAAATCTATTACCAACAAATGGTTACAATACATTTCATTGTACCTCTATCGTTCTTTTTTTACGGATGAGAATAAGTGTTTTCTGCAAAATAGTATTCCTAACTATGGTCTTTGTTTCACTCTAATTGGCCCTAGTGAACAATTATGCGAACTTTCATGGAACTCGGGGTGGGAAAAACAAAATCGATTCGTCAGTTGGCGTGGAACTACTGCATTGGATTACCTGAACTAACTGAAATTTCGACCCACGTTTTATTCCTATTAAAGTACTTTTTAAAAATGGAATTTTGCGGTTATCAAATATTGAAAAAGCAATTAACGAACAGTATAAAAAGATTGACAGTTTTATCATAATTTTCCGATTTTTCCTAGCTCAGTTCAAGTGTTTTAGTCGGCTGCCATTTTTCACCATCAATTTTGTATATTGAGGTTGTAATATAATAACAGGTTATCTATCACTCCACTAGCAACTTCAGACTTTTCTTGCTATTTCGACATACCAACAAATCCTACAGAATCTCATTTCTAGCAATCATTTTATTGAACCCCCTTACGGGTAGGTAAAACAATATTCTACCTATTTTATTCACATTTGAATACCTGATTATTAATTCATCGGATTTATATTTTCTTTATTTCACTTAATTTTTGCTTTCACGACCATACGCTTGCAGAAACTTCCACAGCAATTATGATTAATTTCATCATTTCACAAAACATTCAAGGCGCAGGTCATGTCAATGGCATCAAACGTTACGTCACTTAGGTATGATGTTCACTTTTGATGTTATGGTAAAAACACATGCAAGTATTTCACGCTTTCATTACAATCACTGTTTCACTCACAAATGACGTTTCAATTGTCACGAGAAATTATCCCATAAGATAAGCTGATGCGCAAAAAAAACGGTGATATAGGATGAACACAAACTTTTCAAAATAAATTCGCTGTTAAATCGAACTGTCCTCAAATATGATACGCAAAACTATTGCACAAGTAAACTGAAACAATTCTCGAGTTATTTTAAACCTTCCTACAGACAAGGTTGCGAAAAACAAAGATGGCGTCAAATATAAGAGAAATCAAAATGGCTACATATATTATAGAAATCCCGCATATTCACTTGTTAAAATTGTATATTCTCACTTTACAGTACCTTAGTTTCCTCAAATTATCTATAATTTACCACACATACAACCATATTTGCATACTTCTAACCAAATAAGTAGATAAGCAGCATATTAAAGCTACTCCAAGTTCACAAATCACATACATTTTGACACACCCCACTTTCAAACTTTGATTGGTAATTTCAGCACGTTTCACCATTACCGTCACTTTATTTACCTTATGCAGCAATTATACACTGATTTATTGATTTTCCTATCGAAGCATCTAATCACCACCGAATAAATTACACTTTTCCACGATCCAACCAAAAGTAATTCCTTCGAAGGTTCTCAAAAAGATAAGATGGCCGCCGTCAACGTTTCACTTCGCACTGAAGAAATACACATCCAACATTGATGACAGCAGCGGTAACATTTCGGATCTATTTACCGTAGGTTGACCATGGCTTCCACTTTGTCACGGCTTCCTTGCTCGAAAGTGATGAATTTCTTCCAATTCAATCAACAAAACAATCCAAAGTGATTAAATAATTTGCCGTTCGGAAATACCTGCGAGATATATGTGTATCTTTCCCCTCTTTTTGTCTATTCTGATTTTGTCACTCACAGTCTGCGGCGATGGTTGTTCTTTGCAGAATCGAAGTGATATCACGACGGTGGTTACGTGCAGCAAACGAATGCCCCTATGGTTGCGATAGTGAGAGAAAAATCGTCTCGCGAGCAAACTAAAGAACGCCGTACCACTGGCACTGGCGCGCGCGAGTGAGAAACAAACAAAAAGTCAAACAAACTGCTGGTTGCAGCGAGCTACCTAAGCCGTATATAGGCTACCAGTCACAGAATTTCGCGTCGGGGGTGAACAGTACAGATGGAAGCGATAAGCGATGGAAGGCTGACGCAGCGAATTATTTTGCTGGTGTTGTGGGTTAGCGCGTTAAGTGATCGAATTGGCTGCCATCTTGTTTCAGTGGCCGCCATGTTGGATTTTGTCCGCCATATTGATTTTTGATTATGGCGTCAATTTTCATGTACTGAATCTATAAAAGTACGTCGTTACAGAAGATGTATTGAAATAGAACAGTCATTGATAATCAATAAATTCAGGCTAATTAATTACATCTTCATTGCTAACCCAACGTAAATTCCATAAATGTAGCTGCCGCGCCCCATAGACGCATTCAGTTTGAAGCGTTTGGCGAAAAGTGAAGCGTTCGTTCCGTAGCGAAATGACGTGCGCAGTGGCAGACGGTGAGACACTCACTTCGGTCCGGGTAACTACAACTACGCTGGGAAGTCTCTCAGCGTAGGAAAACGAAAATGGCGGCCGCCATGCCTCAGAAAATGCCAATATTTTTGGTTCACAATATGCGGTAAACTTCGATTGCAACATTGGAAAACATGACCTACCGGAAGATTAGCACATGCCGATCATGTATTTTAACAATGATCCCGGTTCAATCACTTTAGTCGGTGTGAAACTTCACTTTGAACACTGCGCAAGAAAGCACTACGTTGTATCGTACGTTTATCCGTTTTCAGTGGTGCCCGTCCGAATCAGTCGAATCGCACTGCTATGGAGCTGTCAAAATCTCGAATGAGAGTCTGTGGGTGCTCACCGCATTTTCTCGCTCTCGGTTCATGTCCGTTCTCTCTGGGTGGCCTCTCCGTCGAACCGGCAGCACGTGGTGATTGTTATTATTTTTGTTGTGCTTCGGCTGTGTTTTATGGTTTGTGTTGGTTTTCGGCAGCGTTGGAATGGGTGGTCAACATACGGGGCGGGAAACATCTGATCGCCGGTGAGCGTTGGGTCTCTGAGTGGAGGGAACTCTTGTGGTTTGTTTTGTTTGGTTTTTTTTCGGTTGCAAAAAAAAAAAACTGTGATGGTGTTAGGAAGCACACAGGTATCTCGACTTTTGTGTATCAAATGCTTTCGATTTCTGCGGAAATTGAGGAATTAACTGTAAAATTATCCATTAATGCGGTTCTTGGCTAATAATCCTGTCGCGAGAAAATCAAATGAAACAAATTATATTTGAAGCAAACACATCTATTGCTGTTGGCATAGTATCCGAATGGAGCTAAAATCATAATGCCTACGGGATTTTTTTTTTTCCTGCTGATGTCTTAAACCGCCTACCCACGAGATGATTAGTTTTAGACAGGCCAGTGACAAGGCCTATACCAACAGCAGCGTTTGACAGTAGGCAGCATGTCCCGGGCTCAAATAATTTATTTTGCTGTGCTGGGCCCGCTATCACGGTACAACATGTTGCCTACGTGCCTGCCACTGGGCTGCAAAGAAATAATTGGACACGGTTTAAAAATCTTCTTCTTCTTTCCTTTATTTAACGTCGGTCTCTGTTCCGCAATCTAGTGCCAATCACCGACGGCAATCGACTGCCATCCATTCTTTCCTTTATTTAACGTCGGTCTCTGTTCCGCAATCTAGTGCCAATCACCGACGGATATCGATTGCCATCCATTGACGGCAACCGAATGTGCAGGAAGGCAGCTTCCACACCTGCGTAGGATATCGCACCCATTCACATTCAAACACACATGGGCCGGGACCAACGGCTTTACTTCCCTTCCGAAGGAAGACGTGACCAGAGATTTTTATGCCTCAGAAATATCCCACCGACCTCGGCTGGGATTGAACCCAGACCCATCGGGGTGTTAGAAAGCAGTCACGCTTACTACTACACCACCGGCGCCGGCTTTGACTGCCATCCATTGACGGCAATCGAATGTGCAGGAAAGCAGCTTCCACATCTGCGTACACACTTAGATTTTTTGCCGAGATGGGCACCACCGAGCAGCTCGGCAATCTATTTTGCTGGATCTCAGTGAAACCCCGAATAGAAATTGTAATGTAGAAAACATCAGCAGACATCTTCAATACATTAAATTTTAACGTATATTGCTGTACCCTTAATGTATTCAGACTTCAGTGTGACGTCCAAGTACATAAAAATACATTAGCCTCTAACGTTACATCAGAATCAAACGTCTTGACGATGTAAAATTTGACATCAGAATACATCCAATAACAACAGAACCTAACGTTACATTAGAATCAAACTTCATCACGATGTAATTTGTTGCACGCATAAAACATCAGAATACATCCAATGACAACAGAACCTAACGTTACATTAGAATCAAACTTCATAACGATGTAATTTGTTGCACGCATAAAACATCAGAATACATCCAATGACAACAGAACCAAACGTTACATAAGAATCAAACTTCATCACGATGTAATTTGTTGCACGAATAAAACATCAGAATACTTCCAATGACAACAGAACCTAACGTTACATTAGAATCAAACTTCATCACGATGTAATTTGTTGCACGCATAAAACATCAGAATACATCCAATGACAACAGAGCCTAACGTTACATTAGAATCAAACTTCATCACGATGTAAATTGTTGCACGCATAAAACATTAGAATACATCCTATGACACAACAATAAAAAGTGGCTTGCAGTGCAGTGATGCCTCCTATGCATAGTTTTGTGACATTATCAATTGCAAATAAAATTGAACTCTTTAGAAGAGTGGAAACGCTAATAAAAGTGCACTTAGACGTTGTATCGTCTTGACGCCTTCAGCGCACTTATTCTTCATTCACCAAGGAATAAGTGCGATGAAGACACAACAACAATTTAACGTAAAACCGCACTTTTATTAGTGTTTCCGCATTCATAATCTCATAAATGTGCCCAAATCGCAATCCTCGACGCAATCATATAAAATAGCACATTGCGATTACAAGGTAGAGCTTACCACAATTAACTCTTGCACGACTGACATAGCCTCAAATCACTGAAAGAAATTTTGGCATGCCCTGTGGGCAATGTTTATTTGTAAGTAAAACAAATGCCCTGGTGACGTTGCAGTGCAAGAGTTAATTAGTGTTTTAATTGATTATTATCGTTTCAATTGAAAACCGATTTTACTTTTGTTCTGTACGTTAAACATAACGTTGGCCATAGTGTGCTGTATACCGCATCCGTGTACAAATACAGCACACTATGTCCGACGTTATGTTTAACGTATATACAGAACGTTTTCAACGAGGTTTTCATTTGAAACGATAATATTAATTCCAAGGCAAACGAAGAAAATCATCTGGCCACCCTGCATGCATATGGTTATAGTCCATTCCTCGGTCCATTCTATGCGCTCGAGTATTGATGGTCCGAATGTGAGGATAACAATAACAAACCAGCATATCCGGCTGAAGCGAAAGTGAGGATAACAAACTTCGCACTTGAAAATGGGATTGCGCAAGTGTGCGTGTTTTGAACAACAGAAAGGTCAATGTCGTTCTCATTTTGAAGTAAAGCTCTATATATTGCTGCTGCATTAGCGTATACCAAAATTATTCAGGGTGTAGGTGTCAGATGAACGTTCCATTACAAACCACTGATGTTGACCTGTCAATGACTCGCGTTATTAGCTGAATCGCAAAAAGAAAACTAGAGTCCCTGAGGCCCTCGGCCCATGCAAAGTTTGTTTTGTCCTGAGTCAGCACTACACGGCGAATGAGAATGACCCAAATTTGAGTTTAGTTCACTCATAAATCGCAAAAAGTACAGGAACTCAGTTTTGAGTTAATTTCCCTCTGTTTTTTCCAGGATTTCCAGGTTTTTCCAGGAAAATTTGTCCGAATATTAGAAAAGTAAAGATTGGATTCTGTGGATTTTCGTCAATCCTAATTTTCCGTAAGATTTTTGAGGTTTTCCACAGGAAAACATGAGGCAAATTTACTCATCGCTGCGTTCCTGCACTTTTTGCGATTTTGAGTACACTGTATTCAAATTTGGGTTGATCACATTGGCCGTGTACAGTTTTTTTTTCGCGGTGTTAAAAGATCGATTTCGATCGAATTAGTCCGGGAAAGTGCCGTTGTGTTCGTCGCGAGTTTTGGTGGCGATTCGGTGTCCGACGTTGCGGTTAATCAGCAAGTTTTCCGCTTGCTGGCTGCTGGTCTCACCCTAGGAAAAGGAAGGCTGTTTTTCAGGTATGTGGGCTGTTTTTGAGGTGAATTAATGTAATGTAATTATGTTTTTTTTTTTAGGAAAGTGCACCAGTCCGGAGCCACATACCGGTAGCGAGTCCGAAGCTGGATCCCGGCGGGGAGTTCAAAGTTCTCTTTGCAGGTTAGTGAGTGTGTTTACTGTTTATTTGTTTTGATTGACGAATAAATAAATACTGAAAGCTACGGATCCCGATGACGGGTTCCGTAGGTGGATCCCGATGACGGGTTCCGTAAACGGATCCCGATAACGGGTTCCGTAGACGGATCCCGATGACGGGTTCCATAGACAGATCCCGATGAGGAAACCGAATACGGATCCCGAATACGGATCCCGATGGGGAAACCAAATACGGATCCCGATGGGTATTCCGTAGACGGATCCCGATGGGGAAACCGAATACGGATCCCGATGGGGAAACCGAATACGGATCCCGATGGGGAAACCAAATACGGATCCCGATGGGGATTCCGTAGACGGATCCCGATGGGAAACCGAATACGAATCCCGTTGGGAAAACCGAATACGGATCTTGATTGGGAAACTGAATACGTATCCTGATGGGGAAACCGAATACGGATCCCGATGGGGAAACCAAATACGGATCCCGATGGGGATTCCGTAGACGGATCCCGATGGGGATTCCGTAGACGGATCCCGATGGGGATTCCGTAGACGGATCCCGATGGGAAACCGAATACGAATCCCGTTGGGGAAACCGAATACGGATCTTGATTGGGAAACTGAATACGTATCCTGATGGGGAAACCGAATACGGATCCCGATGGGGAAACCGAATACGGATCTTGATGGGGAA